TCGAACAGGGCGTATTGAAACACCGCCGAGCTCGCGCGCGCAATAGATAATCCGCGCGAGCGTGCGTAATTGGCGAGCGGCGCGCGCATATCTTCAAAACGCCGCGTAATTACTCGTTTTATACGGCCCCGCTAAAGAGAGAAATAATCGGTAGGATCAGCCGGCGCAGTTTGCGCGCTCGTGTTTAGGCCGATCCGGCGTGGGCAAATTGGCGCGCGTGTTTGATCACCTACGCGCCTGGTATCGGTATCGATCCGCCGGAGCGACGTGTACGTGGCGCGTCCTCGAGCGTCGCCCGGTTTGATGCATGCGGACGCATATCCGGATATCGCGATGTAAATTAGCGCGCGAATTAGCGTGAGAATCCGCCCGCGCGCCGTCCTCGCGTAACATCAACCCCGTGTGTCCTTCCCCTCCCCCTGCCTGGTAAACGCGTCCTGCAAACGAGCGCGAGATGGATACGCCCGTTAATAGGGACGCACAGAACTGGCAGGTCGACGGAGAGGACGGGCGAGGTGGATGAATCGAGACGGACGAGCGATCGACCGGCGAGAGGGACGTTGTTGAGATGAAATTCATCGTGGAAAATTCGCGGGCTACAAAAGCGGGACAGGTGCGGGAACGTTTATCGCGAGGACCGTGAAATAGGTTTCGTCGCGCGAATTCATGCGCGTGTGCGGGCGCGTGGAGCAACCTTAATTAGACGCGGCGCGCCATGTGTAATATAGGTGGCAATATCTCTTACGATGGCTCGCGCCGAAGCGGCAATTCGCGGCGCGACAGTCCGATTGAAAAACGAAAAGTGAAAGAGAACGAGAGAAAGAGAGGTTTCATTTGAAAATAATTCGGAGGGGTGCGGGTATTAGCGTTCTCTTTGGGCTTGCACAGCTCTGGATGGAGGAAAAGCATCAATAGCGACGTACGTATCGACATGTTCATGTTTCGTTCCTTTATTTTTTCGTCGCTATTAGCATCGAGGTAAATATAATCTCGGAGTGTCTTGTTAAGTAATTTCTTTAGCAGCTCTGTCGATCGGACGGAGAACTACAATTTTCGAAAAGTACATATTTACCCGGCACTCGGGGTTGCAGTGGCTGCGGCCGCGCTGACGTGAGATTTCCCGGAGACACGCGTCCCCGGAAGATGCATCGAGCACGCGCACAGAAGTATAATGTATGCATGCCGCGAATAACTCCGTCCACCAAGGGTCCAAAACGGAAAGACGCTCGCTCGCGCGGCCGCTTACGCGATAGTTAATAATTTTCCTCGGTGAAGCGTCATTGAACAGGTCGGAGGAGGGACGAGTATTGATTACGCTACGTGACGCGAAAGTCTAAACTGCTTGCACGGAGGATACGTCATCGCCGGGTCGGCGGATTACGGCCGACAAATCATCCGGTCGAATTATTATTCCACGGTTTATTAGCGGCGGATGTAATAAAAAGCGCGAGGATCGTACGTCCTCGTTCTCGTCGAATGATACGCCTCTCCGCAGTTTAGACGAGAAAAATAATTAATAACACGAACGTGACGGGCTCATTATAGATTGCAAATAAAAGGTGTACTCCGCTGTTCCGTTCGGATAATCGTATTCAGGCATAAGTGATACATACGCCACAAATAACATTGTCCACATTCAATTGTAATCACGCGCAGGGTGGTCTGAAAATTGGATTCTGCTCGATATATTCGCCCCGGTTCTTATCAATTTTAATAACGCATAATTTCCTCTCTTATGTATGTATATGCCTGTGTGTGTAATGATATGTTCTATAATTATTTTTCAAAAATAATATAACGTAAATTTTTGAAAATAGAGAATCGAGAGATCGTCGCAAAAGGTGGCTTCGAAAAGAGGAAAACGCCAAACGCACTTTATTTTATAATAAAGGCGACTGTCGTTCGCCTGGAATTGTAGCTAAATGTTTCTTCGACTCATTTCTCTCTCATTTTCGAGCTCGACGAGATAAATGAGACAACACTGATTAACAATCGCGACTGCAGTCAACGATCCGAGATTACGACGCGCGATTAGAATAGAACTTCACCGGCAGAATTTAATGCGTTGTTGCGGCGCAACTGAGAACACTGTAACGCGATCAATAGTGCGCTATGTCGACTGGCATAGAGGATACGTGGTAGATCGGCAAGCAGAATGAAATGTTCGCAGAGTCGAAATCGGGCGAGCCGAAATTTCGAGGGGAATATTATAGCTTATCCCCATGTAAATTCTTCTCCATTTTTTTGGTCGTGTTTTCCAGCAGCACGCGAACAGATCGTCGGTAGAATTTATCTTGTTATAAGGAGCATGATAAATTTCTTTAATAGCACCCCTTAGTTCCTGAAGTGAAGAAATAAATTAAGGTGGAGTGCCGATACATTCCTCGGTTACAAAAATCCGTAATAATCGAAGGACTCGGACTGCAGAAATCGATCGGCTCCATGTTTTTGAAGTTGCATCAACAAAATAGTATCAACAAAGGATTGTTTCATTATTCCACTGTTTTTATCTTATCACTCGACTGTTTGTATCGTAAAATGTATTAACGTTGAATTAATTAAACTCGTGAAACTCGACGTAGACAACGTGTCACGGATTATAAGGATAATGATTGATCCGCCGACATTCCTCGCTGTATCGGGCGAATGAGCTCCGAGGGTGGTTCCAACTCGATCACCCTGTATATTCGTGTACATGCACGGGTAGCTATCGCGGATGGCTAGGTACGTTCGTACATGCGTGAGGCGTAAAGGGACGTACTAGACGAAGTTAGGCGCACATATACGTACGCATACATACACACGTGCACTTGCACGCGAGAGCGCACGACGTACGCATATGTACATGGCGTATGTACGTGTTACGTATGTAGCGTGCAGGCGTAATTATACATACAAGGAACGCATACGGAGAAGGCAAGTCACGGTCGCACCTGCTCGCCGTACCGACAGCAGACGCGTCCTATTGGACGACGCATCGGTCGACGGACGGACAGACGAACGGACAGACGCACATATACCGGTTATTGTCCTGTCCCAGGAAGAAGCAGGGCCTGCCCTATCGGCTTCGTTAGCACTCGATTCCTATCGAAGGATGTTTCCTACACGATCTCCATCACTTGTCATATTTCTTTCTCGTGCTTTCCCCTCCACCCCGGATGCATCCTTCTCTCTCTCTCTCTCTCTCTCTCCCTCTCACATATATGACCTGTTTTACTACTTTGTTTGCGAGTCGTCGGGTTCCCCCCTGTCTGTTGATCGCGCCGACGAGGCGGTGAACGTGCCGATCATTGCGATTAAAAACGTGTAATATCTTGCACGTTGCCGCTCCGTGTAACATACGGAGAGAGGGATTACGATTCTCCGTGGCACTCTGGTAAAAGAATATATCCCGTCTGAGGGATTAAAACTCGCCGACGATCCAATCAGTGATGATAATTCCGTTGCAAAAGGAAAGAATGATTTCAGGAACTTCGAGATTCAGCGGAGCTCGGAAAAAGCCCGGTCCGGCCGGAGCACCCTGTACATGGGTACACTTACGTGCCGTAATAAAATTTCATTATAGCGAACGTCGACGAAATGTAATTTTCGCCGTAATAAAATCTAATTAAATGCCCGGCTAATACCCCTACACCTATATGGATATAATCCCATACCCATAACAAAATTTCAATACATCAGTAAACTCAATTTCGGCATTCAAGGTAATCAACCACTACGCCGGAGTGATTGTAGCGAAACTTCGCTGTACGTGTAATTTTTGGCGGGCCGATAACGTTCGCGAGAATTAAATGACCTCCTCCCTTTCTCTCTCTCTTACACAATTCGAAGCTCCTACCTGAAGAAAACATAATTTCAGGAGGAAGAGCAGATGAAACAATAACACCGCAATATTATTTTCTTCTATATATTATTATGTTAGCCCTGATCTACAATAAGTACCTGTAATAACTATTGACCGATCACAGTCGAATTATAGGAGAAAAATCAATTATGATTGGTCAGTTTCTTACAGCTTAAAGCTTGCTACACCTATTGTAGATCGGGACTTACATCGAACGATATCGAGTAAAAGATTTTACACGTTCTTAACTGTGATGAACGTCTGCCGAACGCGCGTTCTGAATTTCAAAGTTCAACAACGTCCGAATCGCGAGAGAATCGGGTGCGGCATTTCGTTGATGGATCACGCCGTTCCCGACGATTTCTCGTACGACTTACATCGAATCGACGTATCGCGACTATTATGTACGAGTGCGTGCGAGTGGGAGAGAGAGAGAGAGAGGGGGAGCACCGACTGGCGTCTAAATGTCGCGCGAGTCCTTTTTCCCGACATCCTGCAACCTGACCACCTCGCCTCGATAACCCAAACAGACGAGTGGTTAAGTTACGATCGCGACATCGCGCGGCAAAAAGCGGCCGGCCGCTCGTAAAATGTCGTTACATTGTGGAGGATATCGCGCGGCAGATGGCCGCCGCCGTCGCGCCGCGACTTACTGAATGAGCGGAGAAACGCGAAGTACCGGTTGCAACGAATGACGACGATTAGCATTTCCGAGGGGCCGGGGACGGCACATTTTATTTATTTATTATCCGACGACGACGTGAGACACCGTCGCGGCCGTAAAAATAAATGACAAACTGCGGGCCCGATGCTGCGTGCGTGCGACTCGAATCGAGAGCTCCGTCAACTCCATTTGTCGTTTCACTCGTCGTTTATTAATCACGACCGCGAGAACCAGCTCGTTCGCGGCGATAATGTATTCCCTCGGTAAAACTTATCTGCTTGAACATGATCGCGCGATGAACATATTTGCAATTTCGTACAGTACGAAGGACATTTCTGTCAAGTTAGCATCCTTAATACGAGAGATTGAAATCAAAATTACGGAGAAAATCATGAGAGGTCTGACGATATTCGTACTTAATTAACTACTCTCGCGTGCACGCGATAATGTCCGAGATATCTGAAAGATATCTGAAAGATGTGAATGGCTTACAGAAGCTCGTCGGATCGTTGATATTGCCATCGCTGCGAAAGATGATCCATTTTGCAGTCGTGCAGTCAAACAGTTACCTGAAAAACGATAGAAAGTGACAGGTAAAGATGGTGGATACTTTGAATATGGCGTGTATTATACGGAGAGAATATTAGAGTTTCGTTTCGTTTTCAGAGAGAAAAAATATTTATGAAGTAAGAAACATTTATTCCGTGGATGCTAATAATATATTTGCTCATACTAATATAGACGCTTTTACACTAAGAATACATTTTTTCTTAAATGAGAAAATATACATTTTCTTAAATCCGTAGCTTTTCATGAAAGCAATTGTCGTTCTATATATTTCAATGAAAGAATTTAGATTGAAGTAAATGTGTTATTAGTACCTACCAAGTAAATATTTTTTTTCAGTGTGTGCTAATAACATATTTACGTATGCTATCGAGACCACGCCGATTCCCGGAGGTAACGCATTATCGGCATTAATCGCGCACGCGTTCCGGTAAACTCGTTCCTTCTCGGAACACGCCGCCGGTCTTAACGAATCGCCTAAGATGATTGATACCGTCCGTGCGTTATCTCTGACATCTAACGGCTGGGGTAGAGGGATCGTTCGTTAGCAGCTCGGTGTTTACAATTAGAGATGCCCGTAGAAACGATTCCCGACATGGTAATTATCACCTCCGCTGTGGGACCACTTTCAGGCCACCGTTGTACGTGAGTCCGCAGCCGCGGCTGCGTCGAATCGGACGGTTGCATCAGGCGCACCTCTCGCCTACTTTACAAACCGCTGCTAAATTACAGTTTCCGAGATGGAGAGGGGGAGGGAGAGAAAGAGAAAGAACGAAAGGGAGAGAGAGAACGGTAGCCCGTTACTTTGCATAAAAAATTATACGGCCTCTCGGAAGGGCGAAGGCCGCTTCCGTCCTATTTTGACGAAACCATGAGGCTGTGCGTGTGTGTGTGTGCGCGCGCGCGTGTGCGTGCGTCGTGCGTGCGCGTACGAGAAGAGAAAAGGAATACGGTTGCACAGTCGGCCCCCCGAACGATACGTTCGCCCGGGTCGCTCGTTAAGAGATGGAAGAAACGATATATGGCCGACGGTGATGGGCACGACTAATTATTTCCACGGTTTGTCTTCCGGCTTTCCTACGCCACGGTCATATTTTAATTTTGTGTCTCGCGTACGTGTGTGTGTATGTGTGAGAGAGAGAGTATGAGAGTGCTATCTCCTCCCGCCTCATTCCCGAGTTCGAATAAATTCTTCCTTTCTAGCAACGTCTGCGGAGAGACTTCACGAATAAACTACGCTCGACGCGATCGTAAATCCGACGTACCTAAAATACGATCGTCAAAGTACACTCGAGAATTCGGTTTTATATTTAACGAGGGCTGACGGAAGCGCACGGGCGCATGCTCGTGCTGGGAGAGATTTTTGCATACCTTTCGTTCGACATGCACGAGCGCGCGAGTCTCTTTTACTGTATTATTGTATACTATTGCATTATATATTATAATATTTATTTATTATATAATATCGTATTATTTTATACTATTACGTGTATCATAATATATTATATATATTGTGAAAAATAAATATATTACATAAAATAATATTTTTTTACTTCATTTAAATCCTCTTTCTTTACCCTCTTCCTATAATGATTCATCTGGCTCATCTAGAAAAATGAAAATTTTCAACCGTCTGGTTTGTCGTTGACTTGTACTACTTGCTCGAGAATAATTTCAATCATCTAGTTTGTACTACTTGATTATTTTTTTATACCTTTTAATACCTTTTAATACCTCCTAGTTCATTATATTTTCCTCATACAAATCTACAGAAAATTTCTGGTTTATTAATTTTAATTTAATATCATTTCTGGTTTATTAAGTTTAATTTAATATCAGGAGAATATAATGAGCGAAGAGGTAGCACGAATTTTCGGCGACAAATTTATTTCATTTCCCCAATTTTTCGCATTTTGGTATCAGGAAAATATAATTAGCGAAGAGGTAGCACGAACTTTCGACGGAAATTTTGAATACATTCGAGTTTTTTTTTCATTTTACCACTTTTCATGCTTTGTTATCAAGAAAATATAATAAGCGAGGAAGTGGCAGGAAGAAAAAAAGACAAATTATGAAATTTTAATCAACTTTTATTCTCACTTATACTTCAGAATACAATGTAATATAATATATGTGTACGATAAATTTGATATAATATATAACACAATATATATATATATATATATATATATATATAATAATGAAATAGGATATGATATAACAATTCGGCACTCCTCCAGTTACAAGCACGAATTCCTGCTGAACTGCTCGAGCACTAGGCTCGTGGTTGCAGCACTAAATTAGCACCTAATTAGCACTTCATTCTAGTATGGCTCCCATTTTGATTTTTTATTTTAGGATGCCAGATTCGAATAGCGGTCGGATTTCTGCTTCCTTCTATCGTTAAAGCAATAGGCGGCGGCGACAGTGAGTCTAACGCAGCGCAATAAATATAGACGAACGATACCGGAGATTACGCGTGCATCTGTGACCAGCAATTTGGTCGCGACGTGCTGACTTTGATCTATTCTCGGTGCCGAGCTGTGCGGCCACACCGGAGACTCGAGCGACCCACCTGCGAAAACACCTCGATTCTGCGTAGGCCGGCTTTTAGTCACGCGTGAATTATTGCCGTCGCGAATCTTGTAGATTAGCAAAGTAGCGGGGTTAATTAATATTTTATACATGCGCGATTAACATCTCATTAATTATTATCCAGGATAAGAGTAATTTAACGTGTTTAAGTGGTGTCCCAATTTTCGACGGTATCTGCATAATTTCTTACATAACCTTGTTATGTAACAACCCTGCGATGTGTGTTAGAATTATTAATTTATTATATTATATTCTATATATACATTTCTACAATGTTGTTATTCATTTCTTTCTCACGTTATCTCACGAAATTTTTCCACAAACACGCAAAGCACATACCTCAGCGAAACGATATCTACTTGTTAAATACGCCACGCGAGCTTTCGCATCGGACTTACGTTAGCCTCCAATTACTTCTAATTATCCACGCCTGACCCGATCGCGATTGTCACTCAGCTTCGTCGTCCTTCTCGACAGGAAGGCGACAGGAGCGAAACGGGATAAAAATACTCAAATGAACTGCAACGTGCGGATGCACAGCTGCCTTATCGCCTTGCTCGGAGCATAATGTACTCGCCGTACGCGCCGTTGTGCTCCCGTTCCTTCGTTGTAACGTTGCGCGCGTATACGTGCGTGGCACGATTAATGGCGGTGAAACGACTTTATTACACGGCGGCCGACCGCTTCGAGGTGGCCCGTCGCTGAACGACGTCCGCGAACGTCTAATTAATATCTAGGTCACAAGACGAGGAGCGGCTTTAATTGCCTGTGGCTACCGGCGGGCCAATGATAAATAAGCGTCTTATTTCGTGCGCCGGGCTCGAGAGAAGTAAGTACTTAGCGTGCGCTCCTTCTGCGAGTCCGTTCGAGCCAAGGCGCCTCGCCAAGAAGAGAGAGATCTACGAGGCCTCGAGGGGCGCGGAAGATCTGGGGAAAAAATAGATTAATAGAGGTGCCGCGATGTCGAGCGTGCGGCCTGCTTCACGTGTGAGAAAGGGGGAGAGAGAGAGAGAGAAAGCGCGTGCGTTGCTCTTCCCGGTAAACCGAACATCTCGGAAAGACGTAAATTAATTTTCCAGAGAAGAAACACATGTAAATCTCGGCGGCATTGTCACACACGGGGGTTCTTTTGTTCCCGAAACGCACGTTAAACGGTCACGTGTGCGTAACGGTCGCATCACAAATAATACAAGAAGCCCGCGATACGCTCCCTCCGGCGGCTCGTTTGAATACGAAGTCACGTGAGCCCCAAGTATTTGCCGAGGAGAGGCCGAGGAAGGAGGAAGAGAAAAAACGGCCGTGTACGCGAGGGCCGGGAGAGAAAGAGCCAACCAGAGTCGCGAGATGGTAGATTTGGAAATCAAGATTCCGACTTGATGGATGCGACCTCGGGGGTGGATGTGGGAGTGGCGAGAGAGGGTGTGCTGGTAACGCGCCTTAAATCCGACTCGTGGAATTCTCTGATACGTGGCTGCGTTCTTGGCATTCTTACACGCTCGCACCACGGAAAACCCTCTGCGAAAGAGAGAGAGAGTGAGAGAGAAAGAGAGGTTCCTCTTCCTTCCCGACCAACCGCTACATAGCGTCTCAGACATGCGTGTTACTATCCACTAACTACACTCACGTGTGACGCATGCATGCATGCACGCACGCGCTGCAGGAAACACCGACGAAACTGGAAAACTTTACGTCTAGTTATTACTCATATATATATATATATATATGAGCGCACAAACGCCATCTCACATCACTTAACTATCCGATTTGACTATCTCGCCAATTAATTTATCGTATGTGTGTGCGCGTATATGAGAAGTACGTATGACGCATTTGATGTTTATTTCATCACGAAAATGGGTTATTACGCGATAAAATAATCACGGAATAATCCAGGATAACATCGGAAAAACAATGTACAAGGTGTCCCACAATTAACAATGTTAATCAGCGGCATGTTTTTCGAGCAATTCCGAGTCTATTTTATCTGGATGAAAATATCAGAGGAAGTCATTGCAATTTTCCAGTTGTTAACATTACACGTATATCTATGCGATTAAATTTCAAATTAAAATTTCACTCGAGCAAGATCTAATTCAAATTCGCTAGAAGACGGCGTCCGTTTGCGTTCTATCTCTCTTAGTTCGCGGAAAGTTCTTAATTCTACGTTCACTCATAATTCGAGAGCTATTACGTTAATTTCTCCCAAGAAAAAACTAACTACAGATCTACCCAGGGTCGTCATTAAGATTAAGATCGCAAGTTGGGTCGTAACGTCTTACGTGCAACCTCGCCGTGGGATCACTTGTGGAAATGTCGAGATCGATTTCTCATTCCGAGGCGGGATTTCACGAAAACCGAGCGAGAGTCGGGAAATCGAAGCAGGATTACAGATCGCCTTTGCGTTGACACTTTTGAGGCATCCTGTAGGGGCGTAACCGACGCGCTATAGCTATTCCTCGAAACTTTCAGAATAAGATGACGCCGGAGCCCAGCCTTACCCCGGGGAGAGTAAATCGAGGCGTATGCTAAAATGGAACTGTACAAAGTACCATTTCATAAATCTTGCCCGGAAAAGCGTGCGTCGCGAGAAAGGGCGAGGAGGGAAAGAAAGCTGTTGATAGATGAGGAATACCGTTGATAAAAGAGGGCTCCGGCGAGGAGTGTCGCGAGGCCGGGTGGTCGGACATTATTTCGGAGCTGCTGCATGATATTATAAACCGGGCGCGCTGAGAGGACCGCGCGTCCCCGTCTGAAAACTCTTCCGGCACGTGCGTGAATCTTTCTCCTCTTCTTCCCTTCTTCTTTTTTATGCCACGTAAATTTTCTCAAACCACTTCGCATTCGTCGACTGACGATTACAAAGTGCTCTTGATTCTTCGTTTCTCCCTCCCCCTCACCCCTCTCTCTCTCTCTCTCTCTCTCTCTCTTATTCTTCGTCGATGATGCAGCTAGGATTCTCGGTCGTGAGCGCTTCGATTTTTTATTTTGCGCCTTGTTTACCGCAGTATAAAATAGTGCTGTTAATCTTTCTGAAATTCGAATGTCGAAGCCTTCGAAAGAAAACACTAGTTCTAGTACGAAGCGGACAGTTTTCTCGGGATATCGGAATCTCGCAAATGCGATCAATTAAGTATCACAGAGACTCTGCCTCGTGAGGTGTGCATGAATCAACAAGACTTCACGACGGCTTAAAGAGCGGTCACGATGTTAATAAAATATTTATCTTCGCTGAATACAACACAATTTGTAATGCGCTTGTACATTTTCATATTTCGTAAAATAACA